TAAAATACTGTTTTAATGCTCTATAGTAATCTCTGAAACATACTTTTTTACACAGATTGGATAATTTGCTGCACCTTGTGTTATTATACCCATATTTTACATACCAAATTTTTGGTATGAAAAATATGGGTATGTAGGTACATTACCCACTAACACCACTATAAAATATCACAAAATATCTAAACTAAATATTGCTTTTAATAAAAACTTTTGTATTACATAAATTACAAAAAGAACTAATAGGAATATGTAGTTTTCTTAAACTTTTCAAATAAAAATTTACGAGGAGAAAGAAATGTGTTAAAAAACTTTAATTTAAAACGTTACATCGGAATAAAATTATAATTAATTTTTATTAATCAACAAAAAGTAAAATTAAGCTTGTTTAAGACTTATTTTTTTTCATGGCAATCTTCCGGCTCTATCATCAGACCCGATAGCATCAAGATCCTAAATCGTTGACAAAATGGATAAAACAAACCCACAATCACTGACTACAGGATTATCAGATCTGGATATCATGTATAACTAGATGATATTAATGAGTCCAGTAATAGAAGGAGCTTTGAACTTGCCAACTCGATGGGAACAGCTCCATGTTAAAATAATAATGCATTGTCATCCGATTTACAAATGAATGCCAAATCTCAGCTAAAGCGGAGATGTGCAAGTGGCTCAAGTTCAAATTGCAAGATTTGATTACTGTCAGACAGACGGACACCAGGAAAGTTGAAGCTAAATAAAATCTTGTAAAAATATCATTATTATTCTCAAAATAACATCTCAATGACGCCATATTTGGCATTTGAATTGGGTATGTGATGTAAAGCTTCTGTTATTATTTTTAATAACAAATCTTTTTCGTTTGCAAAAATCAAACAAAATTACATCCTAAATCGCTTAAATTATCATTTAAAAAATATTATATTTTATAAAGTCGACAAACATAATATCAAGGATTATAATTTGAGAAGTCCTTTTCGAGAGATCGCTAGGGGCAGCGATTTCTGTAGTTTTATTTTTGTTATGTAAATATAGTTCATTTTAATGCGGGTACAAGGAGTTTGCCGCCAATTATGTAAATTGCGTCAGAAATGACCTATGCTTCAGTAATTCCACATAATATCTAATTAGGCTAAGGCCTTAGGCCACACACATCAAAAAGTAACATACCTCGTTTTAATAAGAACCAAACTAACTGCTTAGCAGATCTTGGTTTATTTTAGCACAACCTATTGCAAATATTTTTATTTTAAACCTTGAAATGTCACAATAATTATTTGTGGGGTATTAGAAACAAACTGTACTTGAATTTCTCTTCCTAGTCGTTCACAGTAACGGGTAAGTACTTAATGTTTTAGGGGTCCCCGAAATGGTTTAACGGCTTGATTCAAACCTTACGCGTTTGATGTCGGTTTGGTTCGGTATGCCGGCGTAATTAGACTTGTGATTGTGATGGCAATATTAATAATATTCTCGTATTTATAACGTTAATGTTCTTCGTTTTTACCCAAAAATAAAAAATCAAACGGCTCGTCAAACACAACACAAAAATGAAATTTCATTAAACATGCTTAAACACGTCATTGTTCGACAAACCGTGCAAGCTAGCTTTGTAAACGATCAAAATGGTTTGAGTCAAACCAAAATTTACGTGTATGAATCAAACCGTTTGATCGTCACGGGGGGCTTTTATATAAATAGTGTCATTAATGACAAAAATGACAAGATGTAAAAAAAGACAATAGATCAAACTGACACAGTATCACTTTATTTAGTATACAGAATTTTCTCATATCATTGAAATCAACTCACTCACGTGACTTAAATTTAAATATACACATGAAAACTTCGTAGTTGGTACTTGTATGCATTTCTTTGCGAGGTCACAATTACAATGCGGCTAGCTTTTTTGTGGGGTTACGTACAAGATTTAATTTACAAGAACCAGTGCGATAGTGAGTAGGGGTTACAAAATGAACTAAGACGTGTTATTTCAAACATTCACCATGCTAACTTAAGTTTATCGACAAGCAGATAAATCATTAAAAGAGTGAGAATTTGTGTACTACTGAATGAAACATATTTTGAACATTTGCTAAAAAAATCTTGCACCGTTTCTATTTTCTTGTAGTTTGTGTTCAATTATGTTAAATAAAATGTAAAATTTCATAATCTTCCTTTCATTTAAAATGCTATGTTATTTAGAAAAAAATATCTTATGATTTACCTTTTCAATGGTTATCATAAAATACATCATTTGTTTTGTTTTCATTTCACTAGTTTGTTTGCCGGTTGGGTTCAGTAAAATATCCTTTCTTCGATATTTAATATACTTTCCCTCCGTGTGACAATGCCGTGGGACGCTCCGTAGGGAATCAAGTAGACTTTTGCAAAAAAAGAAATCGAAACATAAGTCACTAAGTTTTGCAGACTTTTATTTTCATTCCTACTTTAACTAACTAACTTTCATTAATACTTTAACTTACTTCCTACTTGTCCTTCTAATATTATATATGTGAAAGTTTGTATGTTTGTAACTCAGTCAGGAAAAAACTACTCAAAGAATTTAGATGAAATTTGGTACGTATATAGCTTATGACGTGGATTGAGACATAGGATACTTTTTATCCCGGAAAAATTTTCAAAAAACTAAAGACGAACGCGGACGAAGTTGGGCGGCCGCTAGTCACACTAGTATTATAAAGCGAAAGTTTGTGAGTGTGTATGTTTGTTACTTCTTCACGACTAAATGGCTGAAGCGATTTTAATAAAATTTGGCATGGGGCTAGCCGACACCCTGGATTAACATAGGCTACGTTTTCCTGCGGGAAAACATCCCTAATAAATCGCTGGTATAATAATATTATAAAAGTGAAAGCTTGGATGTTTGTTACTCATTCACGCAAAAACTACTGAACGAATTTTGAAGAAATTTAGTATGAAAATACTTTATGATCTGGATTGAGACATAGGATACTTTTTATCCAGACTTTTTTAAGGTTCCTGTGGGATTCTTAAAAAATAAAATACACGCGGACGAAGTCGCGAGCGGCCGCTAGTATTCAACAAATCAAACCTTATTCGTATTAAGTAGGTTTCGCGTTCGTCTGATATCAGTCAATCCATCATCACGTGTAACAAAAAGCAATCAAAACGTTTACGTAGCTAAAACTTTTAGGTAAATTGATATTGATGTGACATAAATTAGCGCAGCTGATCAATATTATTAGGTACCTACTAACTGCACAATTATCTTATCAGTTGCTCTGGGAATTACCAATAAAGTCCTCGATCTATCGCGGAAGTTCTGCTTTATCCTTTATGTGCCCTTTCACTTATTGTTTTTCGTGCTGAAATAATAGCAACAGTAGGAACTCGTTTTAACAACGTTTGTTTTTAAAGGTCGTAGCGTTTTTGTTTTGAATAAAATCACACTAACATTGCGGATGGTAACAGGTGCTATTACTGGACATGCACATTTTAACAGACATCTTTTCACCTTAGGTGTCACGGACAGCCCCCTATGCAGAGGATGCATGGAGGCAGAAGAAACAGCTACTCACGTTCTGCTGGAATGCAACGGAGTGGCCAAATACCGGGCGAAATACCTCGGCTCACCGGAAACCTTCAAGAGGCAGTCACCAATGTGAAGGCCCTGTGGGCGTTCCTACCTGAGCTGGGCTGACTGGAGTGATTCCGGTCATACACCCTCCTCATGCAAAACAGGCGCCATAAGGACGTTGAGTTGCGGAAACGCCCGTAGAAAGAAGAAGAAGAAGAAGAGAAGAAATCACACTACAGAATTATAAAGTAGCAAATAAAGAGCTCAATAAACTGCTGCTGTATCATATGCCCTTTCAGTTATTGTTTTTCGTGCTGCTGCGTAATACTTACCTACTTAATTTTTCGCACATGTTTTGTTTAAGATCGTAGCGTTTTTGTTTTGGATATGTTAAATACAATTAAGGATTAGCAATTACAGAGCAACCAGCTTTATAATAAATTCTAAAATGAAACATGTGTCTGGGTATACCTATCTTTGTTTGTTTTTTGACAATAAAAACTTTTTTTTTAGGAAATTTAAATAATCGTGTTTCATTGCTTGCTATCTGAGTACCAAATATCATACTAATGCGTTCGAGGGTTTTTGATGACAAAGGAAGCTTATCTAAACATAAAAATAATTATATTTTGTATTTTTAAGCATTAAAGAAATTTAATATTGCTAGAAAAAATTCCACGCGGACCAGGCAGCAGACGGGACTCGAACCCGCACACTTCGTTATCCGGGCGAATGTTGACTGACTATTACGCTGCCGCGACCCTGATGGCCGTGTCTGTCTATGGATATAAATATCTAAATATAATTTAGTCAATATTTATTTTGTGTAAGTAAGTAAGTTAAGCTATATATATCGTTTTTAAGTTTGTGTTATTTTAATGTATCTCTTTCTTATTTCAATAGTTATGCAAAATAAAATAATAAACAGTTAAAATTTTAGCCAATGCTAATATTATTTAAAAAAGCTTATCCGTGCTATACCAAATTTCACCAATGTCGAGATAAGGTTGTACGTAGATACTTAAAGCTCAATCGGAGAATGTTCATTCTACATAGTTCCTTCGTGGTCATTAGTTTGAAATATTCCTGATACTACGAATGAAATAATCTATATAACATTTGAGGCGAAAATTGCTTGAATTCTCTCCGGATATTGGGAAGTAACTTTGTAAACAACCGAGATATTGAGCAAGCGAATAGCACCAGAAAGTTTCGTTGTCTTCAGCTCTTATGTCAGTACCTATTCCAATTACAGGATTCTTTCCCAAACTGTCTTTTAGTAGGTATCTATGGAAATACAAAGAAACCAAATTACTGGAAATTATTGTGTTCCGTTTATCTATTTCTATAAACATACGAAAAGTTTTCACCATCACGAAAATCACAAATGGAATTTTCAAAGTTGAATCATCCTTAAACCTAAACTATACCTTACATTAGAGTGTGCGTGTGCAGTAAAGTCTCCTTATTCACACGATCCACTTTTATCAACTTGTATCACTGCTCACACTAGATTGTCAGTTGTCATAATTTTCACGGTAACGATGGAACAGTGGTGCAGACGCGACGGCGCGCGCGCGTGCCCCTCTGCACTAACACAGGAATTTCGTCTGAGATTTCTGGAACTTATAAATAGGTATGTCGGTCCCATCCCAGCATGTCGGAACGGGAGTCGGGAGCGTGTCGGTCGGTACAGTACATGGCCGCCGGCGTTCGGATTAGATAGCTACGTTTTTTTTTCATCATCCGTTAATGCCCTTGACACTAGAATACACTACGGTTGTTTGCTGCTGTACTTTCTAGGACAGAGTTATTATTGCGATTTATAATAATCTTGTTATGCATCAGCCTATTAATGTCTCAACTTCCGGGGCAGACGTCTTCCCTATGGATAGAATAGGGAGATTGGGCCGTAACCCACCACGCGTGCCCAGTGCGGATTGGTGAGTGCAAAGGACTGCTTATGCAGCCAGGACCAACAGCTTAATGTGCCTTCCGAAACACAGAGCAGGTTAAAATAATAAGTTTTTGGTCAGTCATCCAATGACCAATCATTGCATAAGTTACAAGTAACTTCCACGATTGAAGCCCTGAACGCGCTAACCACTTGCGCCATCAAGCTCCTCCAATCAAAAGTATATGTAGATGAAAAAAAAAATGTCTGAAGCGAGTGGGACCTTCAGGCGGAAAGTTTCCTAACGCTAACGAAATGACTTAATAGTAATTATGTGGGCGCCTGTTTTTACGAGGCCCCGCAAAATTGGTTATTTTACATAAATGGAGTGGGAGTGAAACTCCTTGCCGAGGTCTGTTTTCCCGTACCAGAATAATCCGGACGTCTTCAAGGCCAGAGAGAACAGGCATCTTCTAGGCAGGCGTGTACCATCCTAGGCCTCATCATCGCTTTGCATCAGGCGAGATTGTGGTCAAACGCCTTGTCTATAAAGCATTAAAAAAATGACTTATCCATTCCTTTTGTAAGGGTCTTAAAAGAAAGATTCCTTCTTATATACAATCCTATGTGAGTTCAGTTTGCATTAGCTCAGCTTCTTCTTCAGCTTATTCATACAAATTGCTTCCAGTCATTGGTGATTTGTAATAGTGCTAGTTGTTGAGTAAAGGTCACAGATCATTAGACCCACCCGGCTCCCAAACATTGTTTGTTTGGATTTTTGTATGGATTTTCAGGAGCATACGCTCACTACATCAACTCTGTACCGTGACTGAATCACCTCGCTCGCAAGCTGTCCGCGCGCGGGCAGCGGGTGGACAACTCGGTGAGCACCCGTTGCTCGCACGCATGCTATGTGCTGGACGTTTGTTGTAGACGCGCTCCTCCCCAGTGGACCGCGCGCTGCTTGCGAGTTGACAACGCATTTCTTTTCTATTTCATCAAGCACCGAAGCACGACAGATATTCCGACCAAGTCACGGTTCGTCACTTATGCGAAAGAGTATCTGTCTGTCTGTTATCTCATCACGCCGAACAGCCATAGTTTGAATCCGACAAAGCTATAATTTGAGTCCCAGCAAATGACAGGATAGTTTTTATCCTACAAATCACCCTAAAGTGGAAGAAAAACAAAAATCACTTGTTTCAAAAAGAAAACCTTCTTTCATGGTACGTGGTAAGTGTGTCAAAGCCATGATTTAGGTCCTTATTATAGAATGACATCTAAGTGTTGATCTTTAATTGAGTACAGTTAGAAAGGGAAATCGCTATGTGCTACATATAGCGACATCCCTTTCTAACTATGCTCAAGACTAGATCAATCACTGAGAATCTTTCTATAATACGGGCCATAGTCTATAAGTTCTGGGTTCTGATACAAGAGTATTTTAATCAAATTTAAAAAGGAGGAGGTTAAAACCGAAATAAAAATTTACTAGAAAAAATTTCACGCGTACAGGACTCTCGAACCCCTCGAAACCGTGGATTTTTTTTCTACAAAAATTTTCTTTAGATTTTAATATCTAACTTAAAAAAAGGAGGTTCTATCTCAATTCTTCAGTAGGTTTTTTTATTGTTGTTCGCGATTATCTTCGAAGTGCGCTTGTACGAGCATATTTTAAGAGATATGAAATAGATAATGCTGGCCAGATACCAAAAACTTAGTTAATGTTGCTCTGGCTTACAAAAAATGAAAAATAAAAACTTGTTTAACAAAAAATAATGAAAACCTACTTCATAAAAACAAAACAACTAAAAAGCAAGAAATAATATTTACATGTTATTATTTACTTAAATTTAAAGTAATCAAATAAGTCAAATTAACATTTTGACGGTACCAACGTTCGACGCATCACCGCGGTCGTCGGCGTCGTCGGTTCAAATCCCGCACTGGTTTTTTTATTATTATTATTCTCCTTTTAAATACATATTTTACTGCATAAATTAAATAAATAAATGATTATAATTACATAAGTTGATAAAAAATGCTATGCAATCTCCCCGAGTGCCACACGTATTTTTTTTTCTTAAACTCGGGTTTAACCTAATGTTAAACGCATGTCTAACTTTTTTGTGGTAATAAGGGTAATGTTTATCATGGCGTTCCGTTACGCTCGCGCGCACAATACGAACAAGACTCGTTTCAAATTAAATGTAGCAAGCATATTCAGCGTCAGTCGAATCTATTTCGGACTTTTCTCGCTTTGCTTGCACACCCTGTAACGCTACTTTACGCGCCATTAATAACACTCGAGGAGCTCACTGGCACAGTGAATAGCGCGGCCGGTATGCGATTGTGGATGTTAAGGAACTTTCTGAATGGCCACTTTTTGAATGGGTGACCGAAAAATTTCTAAACTCCTTCGTGCTTCATAAGGTACGTTAAGCAGTTAGGGTTGCTATGACCATCGCTATTACTTAACATTTTATTTTGTTATTCTGACCGCCGAAGATTTTCAAATCCTCAACCTCAAAAGAAAATGTCTTTAATATTATTATCACCAGTGCAAAAGAAAAAAAAGAGCGTGAAGCACCCATCATCTGATAATAATGATGATTCACTGAAGCTTCATACTTCACGTGGCATTTCACGATTAAAAAAAATAGACGTGATAATGGTATGACCAGAAAGTTTAATTTTATCGGTAGACTTTTCGAGTGAAACTTCTTTAGGCACGCTGGACTTGGGGGGTAAGCTGGCGGATGCGTTACGCGTTACGAAATGCGTTCGGGTGAGGCGAACGGGAGTTGAGTGGGGGATATAAGCAAGAGAAAGCAGTGCGCGCGCACATTTTCTTTCTCTTATAGCTAGTAAATGAAATATGTATATGTACATACATGTATATCTTGTACACATATATATCAATACAGATGGGGCTAAAGAAGTTTCACTTCAGTCGTGTGGTCATATGCACACTAATTTTTTTTATTAGCTGATACCACGTCCCGGCAGGTCGATTCATAGTCGCCTGGCCATGACAGTGCAAACCATAAACACTCAAAATATAAAATATAATTGTGCCACAGTATATTTTACCCTATAACGCTTCCGCTACGTGACACAGAGTGAACAGCTCATAAACAGTACTTACCCTAAGAAAAACTGTAACAAAACTTCCTGAAATACTTCATCCTCAATGGTGGTTTCCTCAAATTTCTGTCTAGTAGTAATCCGAAAATTTTGTCCGAAATAAATTATGAATAAATACATTAGCATTCCATTGCGTTACTTTGCTCCAAAATATACAGAAAACGGGAATTACCTACCTTTTTTGGTATGAGTCACCATCAAAAAGTCTTGAATACGTTGACACTTCAAAAAACTAAGTGCGAGTTATCTAACTTATTTAATAACATACCAACTCACACTCATCGGTCAAGTAGTTTTCGAGATAACGATTAGTCACATAAAGTGCATGACCTTTTGCTTACATTTAAATAAAAAGTTACGCTAATGTTATTGCGTTATCATACGAAGATGAAAAGGGGTGATGACTCATTTTTTTGTGTATCAGGTACATCATCAAAAAGATAATCGTCACCTATTTTTTCTTTATCCACATAATCAAAATTTTACAGAGAAAGAGATTTCAAATTCCTATTAAAAAAAATAATTTGAACTGAAGTCATCCCACTCCCAAAATTTTACGCGCTTTATCTTTGTAATTTTTTGGTTGATTGACAAATGAAAAAATAAGTGACCATATTTTTTTGATAAATCTAACTGATGGACTTAATATTTTTTTGTTTAGTTTACCCTGTCATTATCCCTATTTGGAAGTGTATCATGCACTCACAGGCTCATAGTGAACAAAAGACTATAGAAAAGTTCCCACCTGAAGGGCTTAGTTTCAAGGTAAGTTAAGACTTTACAAAAATATATTTTAACTTATATAATAAGTTCTTGAATTCTACGGGACTTAGAAGCATGAAAATTGATATTTATTTATGATTACAGTTATAAATGTCTGTAACAAGTAAAATAGCGTGTATACTTTTAATTCAACTTTTATTGACTTTGCGGGTCCCATTAATCATCGGAGTGCGTAAAAACAACACACTAATATTATAAAGGCGAAAGTTTGTGAGTGTGTATGTTTGTTACTTCTTCACATCTAAACGGCTGGAGCGATTTTAATAAAATTTGGTATGGAGTTAGCTGACATCCTGGATTAACACAGGCTACGCTTTACATGCGGGAAAATTTGCCTAATAAACCGCGGGTAACACCGCGGGGCACAGCTAGTAAGAAATAAATATGATAATAAAAAGTTCGTGTTTTATTATTGAGACTTACGATAGTCAACTTTAGTAAATAAATCACGTAATGAAAATTGAAATGGAAACAGTTGTGAGTTGTCTTGGGAAAGGAAGTACGATATATAACGAATCAAAAAAAATATGAATGTGGGCAGAAAATTGCTTTAAAAAAACAACTAGTGTACTGCTTTTCATCTTAATGAGTTTTGAATAAGCATCTTCATGTTATACAATGTTGGGATCGCGACGTGCCGTGTCTGAGATGCAAACAAACAGTTTTTTTTCGAAGTACAGTGAAACTAAAACTTTGGAAAAAACATGAATAAAAATGAGTTATTTTTTCTGGAGCATGGTTTTTTCACAAGTACAGAGTTCAAAATTATTAAGGAAGTTTCCCTAAAAGATTAATGCTTATCAGTTTATATTAAAGTTTTCTCTTTATTTTAAAACCTACTACTCATATTTAATTGAAAATTACCATCCGAGCTTCAAACAATTGGCTAAACCTACTACGTATTGAAAAGTCCTCGAATGTCCCGTTCGGTATAAGTTTGTTTGAAGTATGAACGCATTTAGCATAT